CGCCCGCGCGCCCCCCGCGGCCCCCGCCTCGCGGAGGCCGGGCGTGCCCGCCTCACCGCCGCCATCGCCACACCATCGCGGCCAGCGGCGGCGCCGTCGGCGCAAGCACCGTTGTCGTCGTCGTCGGCGTCGTCGGCGTCGTCGTCTGCGTTGCCGCCGTCGGCGTCGGCGGCGGCGTCGGCGTTGCTGCTGCCGTCGTCGGCGGCGTCGTGGTTGTCGCCGGCGTCGGCGTCGGCCGCAGAGGGAGGAGGGCGGAAATGGGGGCGGCAAGGATGGCGACCAGAGGGATGAGGAGGAGGAGGAGGAATAAGAGGAGGAGGAAAAAGAGGGGGAGGGGGAGGAGGAGGAGGAGGAGGAGGAGAAAAACAGAGACCCGGACCCACGACGCCATGATTTGCTCACAACGTCGACCCCGAACGGTCTCGACCCGTTCCCCGGGAAGGGCTCTTCTTCCTGCACTGCTCTTCCACGGTCCCTGGGGCACGTCGAGGGCCCGCGGTGGCCGATCGTGGCAGACAGCCGCTCGCCGTGACCCCTTTACAGCGAGAGGTGTACAGTCATCGGCCTGACCTAAGGAACGATAAATAAGGAACGAAGCTCATTTTTCTACCCCAAGGAATAACGCATAAAGAACGATAAATAACAAATAACGCATACGGAACTATAAATAACGCATGCAAACCTAAGGAACGACCGAGCCCCTTTTCAAAAGTAAGTGTTCCTTATTCAAGCCGCTCACTGTAAGACGAAGCCAGGACGAGGACAGCATCGTGCGAGGGCACGTCGAAAAGCTCTGAGATCCAGCGGCTCTGGAGGATGTCTCGGGCGCCGCGGCCCTGTGAGAGCGTTCCGGCATGCTCTGAGCGCCGGGCGGGCCTTCTCGCCTTCTCAGAAGGTTCGAACATCCGCTGGCCTTCTGAAAAGCGTTCTAAGCTCAAGACACAGAAAACTTCTCCGGAAAGGCGCGCGGGCTTCCGAGAAGTCCCGCCGCCTTCTGCGAAGGCCTTCTCCTTCTCGCCTCCCCCCCCTCGTTCGCTGCCGACCTATGGCCCTCTCCGAAGGTGGGCGACAGAGGCGAGCGATGATGAAGGGGCCCAGGGACACACAAAGAAATAGACACAAGTCCCAGGATCCCCATGCTTCCCTGCATTTTCTTGACTCTCGTCTTCCCCCCCACTTCCATATCTTCCGGGGAATCGACGATTATTTGTGTCTCTGTGTGTTCTTGTGTTTTCGCCCATCCTGAGATTGAGCAGGGACCGACTGTCCCGGCATTCCTATAGTCCTACCACGACATGTTCTTAGAACCCAAACATGTTCGAAGAAAACAAACAGTGATCTCAGAACGTAAGCCCAGTGTGTTAAAACAAGACAGACTCCGCCAGAACTGTTCTAGGAACGTTTCGTGGGAACCACAAAAGGTTCTTAGAAAATTGTCTGGTGGGGCTATGGGCGAGCCAGGACGCTTCGCCACTGCTTGATTTGTGCCTCTGTGCGTTTTTTCATGCATGTTCCCCTCGTGGAGAGAAAGCGACGGCGGCGGCGGGCCCGCCTCCCCCGCGGGCAGCCGGCAGTCCGGGCACAGCTCGGCGGAGGGCCACTGCGCCTTGGGGTAGGCCGGGTCGCCGTCCGCGCTCTGCTCCTCACAGGGGGCAATGGGGGGGAGGAAGGGGGGGCCCGGCAGGGCCGAGAGAGGCCGCGCGAGGAGAGAGGGGCCGTCGTCTGGGCTCCAGTGTACGCCGTTCGCGGCAGCTCCACGCCTGGTGCACACGCCTCCTCCCGCAAGAGGCCGGAAAGACTCGGCTGGGCGCACCGTGACTCGGAGGTCAAGCGCGCGTGGAGGCTTACGCGCACCTCCCGTCGTTGTGAAGGTTTGCGGGGAAGAACAGCGGCACCCACATACTCCGCCCATCCCTCGTGTGGGTCTCTAGGCGTGTGAGACTCTCCCCCCCCCATCATGCCCCGCTAGAGCAAGGGCTGGGCCAGCTCCTCGAAGGTTCCTAAAGGAGCAGACCTGGGCCAACTTCTGTTGTTGGCGCGGGAGGGGAGAACGTGCTCAAGAAACTGGGCCAGCTTCCCGGCAAGTTGGTTGAGAAATGCTGGCCCAGCTTGTCGGGAGGAGGTTTCCTCATCAGATGCCAGACTGTACCCGCACCTCCTCTCGTCGTAAAGGCATCACGGGAGGATCAGCGGCACACACACACACTCAAACCGTAGGACCTCCGCGTGGAATTCTTGGGTCTGGCGCTCAGGCCACCTGGCGGGGCCTCCGGCGCCACCGCTGGCGCGCCCCTCGCGCCAAGGAAGGGTTCCCACGGGCCCCGGGGCCGTCAGAAAACGGCTCAGCCCTGACCTTCCAGAGAGCTATCTTTTAGCACGGGAGGCCTAAAAACCTAAAAAACTAAACGAAACAGCCTAAAACCAAGACGTAGAATAGCTCTGGGACAGGTTTTTAAGTCGCGTGCTATTTTTTAGCCCTCCTGGAAGGTCAGGGAGCATGCCGGACCCGGGGGAAGGCCCCGCCTGAGGTCCAGGACCCGTTTCCCTCAGGACCCGTCCCTTCATGGTGAACTTCAAAGAACAGCGCACTCTGTCTCCTTCTTCTTCTCCTCTTCGTTCGCTCCCTCGCCCCCCCTCCCCTGCAGACGAAGGCAAGATTTGTATCAAGTCGTACGAGGGGAAATCAAACATTTCTGATAACGGACGGGTATGCAAGACGTGTCGGGTGCCGCGGCCGTCCTGCAGCGTTCTGGAGCGCTCTGAACATGTTCGGGAACGCTCTGGAGCAATCTATCCTAATCCTGGGCCTGCCCGATCCCTCCCTCCTGAGTGGGAACGTCAGGGCGGGACCCGCTCAGGAGGTGGAACATCGACCTGGAATCGGCGATACATCGCCGATAGATCGGCGACACGCTCGCAAACGTTCCTGGGCTGGATGGTCTGTCGTGCCCCTACAGTAGGGGCTCGCCCACAAGAAACCTTCCACAAGAAACCCAACCATGAGACCCCAGGACGTCGATTGGTGCCTGGTGTGGGGAACTTCACGCCCTCCGTGGCAAAACCATCGAAGCCCAAGAAACCCAGGGCGCCCTGGAGGCACGCAGGGTGCTTCAATCCGGGCCGACTGTAACGTTACCCTGGCCACCCAATCCTCCAGGAGGCGCACCCTCTCGTTCACCGCGTTGTGCGTGCGCCACCACCACAGCTGCGAGGCCCTGCGCGAGGTGATGTCCTCCTGCGCCAGGGGCATGGCCAAGAAGTGGTCACGGCAATCGGCGCACTGGAAGCCCGCCACCGCGCTGTGGCGCGGCTGGAGCGCGGCAAGCTTCATCATCGTCATCATCATCAGCATCATCATCGTCGTCGTCGCCGTCGTCGTCATCATCATCGTCATCGTCATAAAACCATCACCACCATCATCAACATCGTCAGCATCCTCATCATCGTCATCATCATCAGTATCGCTGTCAGCATCATGATCATCACCATCACCATCACCATCATCATCACCACCATCAGCATCAGCATCAGCATCAACATCACCACCACCATCACCATCACCATCACCATCACCATCACCATCACCATCACCATCACCATCATCATCATCATCATCATCATCATCATCATCATCATCATCATAATCAGAATCATAATCATCATCATCGTCATCATCATCATCCGATTCAACATCATCATCATCATCTACAACATCAACGACATCAGTCTCATCACCGTCACCACCACCAGCACCACCATCACAATCATCGTCATCATCAACATCAGCATTAGCATCAACAACATCACCATCATAATCATCAGAACGACCACCAGCACCACCAGAACCAATGCCACCACTATCGTCATCAGCATCATCGTCTTCAGCATCGTCATCGCCACCGCCATCGCAATCACCATCATCATCATCAGCATTATCATCATCACCACCACCATCAGCATCACCATGAACATCACCACCATCATCATCATCATCATCATCATCATCATCATCATCAGGATCTTCATCGGTACCATCATGTCCACCGCCATCATTTATCGCCATCATTGCCATCACCAATACCACCACCAGCATTATCACCAACATCATCAACACCATCACCATCAATATCATCACCATGATGGTCATCGTCACCGTCATTGTCGTCGTCATCAACACTACCACTCCAACCACCACTGCCATCCATCACCATCACCATCATCACCGCCGCCATCATCATCCTCGTCGTCATCTGGTCTCTGTCACGCCGTGACCCGCTCAATTACAATAACATCGACATGCTTCGCAGAGCGCGCCAAAGGCAGCGCCAAGGGAGTTCATCCAAGAGATCCGCGCGGGCCTTCCCACGTTTCGCTTTCTGCCAGGATCGAGCGATCTCCGCTGCCCCCGCCGCGCTGTGATCCGCTCGCGATGCTCCTAGACCGCCGAGGGGACATCCCAAACCCGAGCGCCCGAGCTCGCGCTGCGGCCACGCCGACACGGCACGAAACCAGCGCGCAGAAGTGGCGGCGTCTGATGGGCCTGTCTTCCACCACCACCGCCAGCAGTTCGAGGGAGGGGACTTCTTCTTCCTCCTCCTCCTCCTCCTCCTCCTCCTTCCCCCCTCCAACTTATGGTGGTGGTGGAAACCAAAAGCCCATCAGCGTCTCCCTTTGAGCCTCCACCGCCAACTGGCGCACCCTCCGCCGCGTTGCCTCCGCCGGGGCCCGCCGCCGAGGGCGAGGCGCGCACTCCAGGGCGCCAGGGCCATCCCCTGGAGAGCGCCGCCGGCTCTCGCGCCGCGCGGCTTCCCGCGGAGCGCCCGGTTCTGCCCCGCTGCCTCGCGCGGAGGCCAGCGTGCGCCCCGCTGATGGCTCCGGGTCGTAGGGCAACTGGCTGCTGGCAGTCCGCAGTAAGCTGCACGCGTGGGATGTGTGTGTCCTGTGGCACGGAGAGGAGGAGGAGGAGGAGGAGGAGGAGGAGGAGGAGGAGGAGGAGGAGG